AATGGTACAGGCGGCCCTCCACATCCTCAGGTTCCATACCTCTGGTTACAAAGGGCATCAATAGGACTCAACACCCTTCAGCTTACACAGCTTCTTACTAAGTCACCTCCTAATTCATCCCCTTACTTAGTAGCCTATATTTTTTCATCATTATATCCCCCCCCAAGCATTTAGCACAGAGCCATTCACAAAGTAGCGTCAAGGAGTAGCTGTTGAATGAACGAACAAACACAGTTAAGTATGAAATAATTTCAAAGGTGCTCTGAAGCCGACTGCTCTGATTGTACAGTGAGGAGGTCCCTGTTCAGTAGATGCCCCGACATCTTCATTCTGGCAATGTTCAGGAATTCCTCCCCTTCACTAGCTTACTTCCAATTCAAGGACTCGTGCTCCACCAAGGAAGATGGGGCATGGAAATTAAAGAGAAGCAGATGTACTGTAGCCCAAATGAGTCACTGTTCCCAGCCCCTAAAGCAGAAAACCCTACCGGAACCCCTAGCCTTGGAAATAAACAAAGACTTCCAAGTCTTCACTGAAATTTGAAATGTTTGCATGAACATATGTTTTGAGATAATTGTAAGAGTATAACTGTAATTTTTAACTGATTATCAAGAAATGGACATAGGAATAGAACACACAGTTATAGTAATAGCTATAATTACCTAGCACCAATTATGCAGTCAGCCCTATGCTTAGTGTTTTACATATTTTATTGCTAATCTTCGGAAGTAATTCTATGCCCATTTTAGGGATTTAAAAAGTACTAAAGCTCAGAGTAGTTAGGCCTAAAGACCATAAAGCTAATTAAGGAGGATCAAGCCTAAAAGTCGACTTTTCTAAACTACAAACCCACTCTACTTCCCGACGCCAAATGACCTCTACTGAAACAGAAATTACCTATGGATGCACGCTTAAAGACAGAGCCATCAATCATATTTACAATTATGATCTAACAAGCAGAGAAGATATTGTAACTCTAAATGCCTGAACACATGCTTGCGGTTGGCCAAGAGAACACTGGGCAGCAGTACTGACAGGAGATAGAGGGACATCTGATGCCCCGGGTGCTGGATGAGTTTCATAAAACAGAGGTAGCGAGTGCTGGTGGTGTACTGTACCTCTAAAAACGCCACAGAGTCAAGGCCACAAACCTAAGCACACATCCAGAATAATGCCCGTGTCCTCCAACACGCAAAGCCACACTGCCCTCAATGAACCACGAATGATATTCAGAATGGGTCACAACAGGACACACTAGAATACCCCAGAGTGAGCAGGACAGTGGCGATTCTTCCTGTACAAAGGTCTTGAGGAGTAACCAAGTCTGAAAGGAATCTTCATGAAGGATACAGTTTTTAAAAGGCAGCCTATAGAGAGCCATCAAAGCCAATGCTCAAAGAAGTGTCTTCACACCCAGCCTTTGTGGTCAGCCCTGTGAGTCGCAGGTCAGACACACCCTTGGAGAACAGTCACATTGCCACTGAGTTTCAATGTAAAAATCACCACATGTAGATTCAGACACAACTGGCTACAGGGCACAATGCTTTCAGTTTCTACCTATAGCCCCTCTCGTCCCTTAACATCCCGCACAAGGATACTTTGAGTGTTAACATGATCTAGACTTTCCTGTAGCTTTCTTGTTCTCTTTTCTGTACGCATAAATGTTGATGGGATACATGTAGCCAATGGATATGGTACAATCAGTTCATGCTTGCCTTGAAAACACAAATTTCTTCTAATATCATTGATATTTTAGAGAATGATTTGAGTATTACATGAAATTTGTTTCTGCACAATTTTGTCTCAGAAACTCTAGGTGAATGTAGAAAATGCACCTAGTTGCACTGAACACTGCAGGAATACACAAAACACACAGAGCCACATACCTCAGGAGCACAGTGGTCTACCCTTGTCCACACCTGGTGCTGCTAATCCCCCTTTCACCTCAGATAACCCTCCTTCCCTTCATAATAGCCTGCAAGCTGCCACGCTTCCAAAGGCCATCCTGGCTGGTTAGAGGGGTAGATCCTTCACTCTGCTTAATTGCCCTTTCCTTCCAGCCTGTTTTTGTTATTTTCTTCTCTAGTCTCTGTTCTAAAAATTTTTCATCTTTATCTCTTTTTTTCTTACCCTTTTTCTCTTGCACACAGAGTGGCAGGAATATGAGTAGAAGTAGTTGCAATGGGCACACACTTCCATAAGCAAACTTCAGGTCTTATTCAAGATAAAGTGCTCGGAAGGGTGACGTAGGGGTGGGAGCGGGAGGTACAAGCTACTGGGTGTAAGATGGGCTACAAGGATGTACTGTACAACACAGGGAATATAGCCAATATTTTTTAATAACTAAATGGAGTATAACCTTTAAAAATTGTGTAAAATTTAAAAAAATTTAAAAAAACATTGTAGCTTAAGAAGCCAGTGTCACAAGAGAATTGCACTATAAACATACTAGTTAGAATCTAATTTCATAATGATAAGACACAGATTGAGTATAAGATGGATGGAAAAGGTCTTTGAACCCAGCCTAGCTGTGAATTATAGCCTTACTGTTCTGAAGTAGCAGACTGGCATGCATTCTCCAGCCTTCTTTTCTCTTATGATAAGATGTCAAAGGTCAGCTCAGTGCTCTGTACTCTCCAAGTATTTTGGCCAATAATTCAGTCTTTCATTCTCTCAAAGTCACTGTTATTGAAACCAGTTATCTCTAGTTATAACTCACTTAAATGAAAAGTACTTGGACCATTTTCCCTTTTTTTCAAATGGAGGTACTGGTGATTGAACCCAGTACCTCGTGCATGCTAAGCATGGGCTCTACCACAAGCTGTAGCCTGGATCATTTTCTTTTTAATTACCATAAGACCTCTGGACTTGTGTATAAGCAGAGTAAGACACAGAGCAAGAGCTTATAAACAAACCACCTGCGTTCGAGTCTTTGCTTCCTAACTTCTCCATCACGTACTACCTGTTTAACCCTTGTCTGCTCGACCTGTCTGAGCCTTTTTTTAATTCTTCACATCTAAGGGCTGCAGGAAGAATTGAAAAAAAAAAAAGATAAAGTGTCACATTTATTATAGTTTTATATATCCCTTAACCACTTAACATGAATAAAACTGAATTATTATTTTTTGATGTCATTTTATTTTTTTTAATTCTTAATTTTACTGAAGTGTAGTTAATTTACAAGGTTAGTTTCAGGTGTATAGCAGTGATTCAGTTATATATATAAACATATTTTTTCAGATTCTTTTCCATTACAGCTCACTATAAGAAATTGAATATAGTTTCCTGTGCTATACAGTAGGTCCTTGTTGTTTATCTATTTTTTATATAGTACTGTATACCTGTTAATCTCAAACTTCTAATCATTTACTTTTAGTAGGTCCCTATCATTTTTGTGAGTCACTAATGAAGTTTCTAAGTGGTGAGCTCCAGCTTCATTTTCCTATTACTCTGTGGTTTTAGACTTTGCAGAATGAAAGTATATATGTTGCTCTAGAGTAGAATGGACTGGAGATTGAAATTTGTCAGCAGTGACCTCTTAAATATTGAACCTTCAAATTTCTTCTTCAGCGTTTGCAAATTAGGTTAAATAAATTAGCTTACATTGTCTCAAATTATAACGCTTTATGTGAAATTCAGCTATAACTTTAAACAACATAATCTACACAGTAATGACCAGGCTTCTTTTTGTTTGGAAAGTTCTGGAAAATTCTATTCACATCAATTTGTATATTCATGTTTCCACCACTGAATCTAATCTGTAATAATTACTCAGATGTTAATATTAAGAAACAGCATATTTTTCACAGTAACTTTTTTGAGGCTTCTTTGTAAATGGTATAAAGAAGAAAAAAAGAAAAACTCATGTACAGTCTAATTATCTAGGTCATACGGTTTTCTCTAAACTTATTGACTTACTTAATCAGGTACCAGTTGAGAAATGTTTCCCTCAAGAAAACTGCAGGCTAGAAATAGTGCATAATAAATGGGCAAAACATGTCTCTTTGCAACTTCTGTGATTCCAAACATGTAAATAAAAATTCAAATGATAGTATCTAAATCATAGCAGTATCCTGGAGCAACTTTGTAGTGAAAGGAAAAAAAGTTAATGTGATCTAGTGATTAGAAACATCTACTAATCTTTTGAAAAAATCTGGGTGATTGTAAGCAAGAAAAAAGTTCCCATTTTCTTAACGATATTCTATGTTATCAAATGAATATGCATTTCATTTGCTTTCAGAAAAATTACTGTACTAACTGGAAAGTGTATATGTGGTTAAATGAGTTTCTAAGGCTCTTGACAGTTAGGATAAGAAAGGTCAGCAGTAGAGCCTGAGCTTTGCATGCATGAGGTCCTGGGTTCAATCCCCACTACTTCCATTAAGATAGATAAATAAATAAACCTAGTTACCACCCTCCCCCACTCCCTCAAAAAAACAAAAAACCCCAAACCAACCAACCAAACAAAAAAACCAGCAACAACAACAAAGAAAGGTAATGTGTTCCGTACACAGCAAACCACACAGGTAGTTCAGGTATATTAGTTAAAAAAACAGTCATTGCAGATTAGAGGAGAGCAAAAAGGAGGCATATCAGGAAGCCCTAGCAGAGAGCTCAAGCAGAGTACTCACTCACATTTATTGAACTTCAGAATAGAGTAACTGTTTGAGGGGCATCCTGCTTTGCCTCTGCCTTTAGCAGCCCTACCCTTAAACAAATAGGTAACAGGCCAGGGACTATACAAGGAGCAATACTCCCCAGCTACACTCTTAAGACCTGGAAATGCTGAGTCACTCCCTAGGGTTCTCTCTGCAACCATTCTTACGATGTGGACCACTCCTTCTGATATCCAGAAGCTTTAGTGGAAATACACTTGTTTAACTTGGAGCAAATTCAGGATCACTAGTTAACAAACATTTCCAAGAAAATATTTTCCCTCAGTAAGAGCAGAAAACAAAGCTTGCCAGCCACACTCCAGCCACCCCTCTCTTGGGTCTTACTTGTTCTCATTGCTTGCATCATAACGAGGCATTGGGTCCAAGTCGTTTCCATTCACGTCACAACTCGCCAGAGCATCCTGTGGTCACAGTGGAGAGAGAGAAAGGAGACGGGTGTTCATTAATTAGCCATTAACCTGAAGGCTCATGCCTCCTTAAACACATTTCTGCCAAGAGAGTAATTAGATTAAATAATACACTCACGGTCCAGTGGTGTCAGGATGCCTTGTTCTGCAATAATATGTTGTATTTTCCCCCATGAAGGTGAAAAAATACTCTCTATGGAACAGAGGTGTGCCCAGTCCCTTCTTGCCAGCACTTCCCTCATACCTAGAACTGACCCCTCACCCCAGTGCTCTGAAGATGTCCTCAATTACCACCTTTTCTGCCAAGTACTACTGGACCACCCAGAAGCAAAGTGATTCGTGCTGCAAGAACTCTCTATTCTGTACTTCATTTCTGGAGTGTGCAAATCCCTTATCACAATTCAAAGTTTTTGGAGACAATAATCATTCACAAATAATCAGCAAGCCAATTAAACATCAGTATTAGGAATCTAGTATATCAGGCATCTTGGGACCTCGATTAGGCAATATTTGTCTGGTTTCAGATGTTGTAGCTACTATAAAAGAGTCTACAATTCAAGACTTTTTTATTAGTACCCAATGGCCTTTTGCCCCAATCAAAATAAAGAGCAAAGTTTTATTACGTCAAGGTTTCAAAATGAAGCAAAACTTTGTCTGAAACGAAAGCTGGATTTACTTGTTTGCTTTTAGAAATGACTGTGAAAAATCTTCCAGTTACTAAAAAAACAAAAACAAAACCAAAAAACAATGGATTGTTCCATCATTCAAATTTATATCACTGTAGATGGGATGAATTTAGGATGTTTTGCATTTTCTGATGCTTTATGATGATTCCTGATATCAGTTTTAGCAAAAATAAATGCTGTCTTTTTCATGTGTTCCGGTGTCTGAAAATAACTTACAGTACACAGAGGATGAAATGTTTGGGGGTATTAAGCAAAATACACAAGACATTTAAAGGAGGTAAGTCCTTGTTTCTGTACAAAGGAAGCCCACATCAGTGGACATCAGAGCACGAAGGACAGATACTGAGTAATTTTACTTATAAGGAAACAGAGGGCCCAGACAGGTTGGCCAAAGGCATGAAACAAACTACTTGGAGAACTAAGGCCGGAACCCAGGCCATCTGACACCCCATCCAATGTGCTTTCCTCTACTCTTCACCATCTCTGACATTAGGAGAACTAAAATGGCACCAGTATTGCTAACTGCACAGGTAAATTCTGGAGAAGTTTCTTTCAAGGCAGAAAAAAATGAAAAAGGTAAAGAAATACAGCGCATTTAAGTTAAGGCTATTTGTATTTAATCAAATGCACTTCTAGGCATGGGGAGCAAGAACACCCCATAAAACCCCCTTTGCATATGTTAGGAAAGACTTCTTTTCTAGGAGATAGGGAGCCCTAGTTCTGTTCTTTATGTGACTTGGGCTAACTCACTTTAGCTTTCAGGTGTCAGTGTCCAGCCCATCACACGAGGAGGCTGAACTGAAGTTCCTTTTTAGCTCTAAAATTTTATTCTGTGAAGAGACACACATTTATCTTGGAGGCAGGGAGAGGGTAGCCATTTAAATGTTTTGTTCAACTGAGAACTCAATGAATTTGCGGTTCCTTCTGTCTCTGTCTTTCTCTCAACCTTAGGGAAAAATCATCTAATTTAGGAGACATCAGTTCAGTATTTCATCATAAAAATTGATTTGTGAAGTTCTTGGCTGAGTTTTTGAAACAAAAAAGGCCACAGGGTAGAATATTGAGAGGAAAAGTAGTTAAAGTTGATAAAAGTATAGGTGATACCAGGTGGGCCTGAGTGAAGGAAGGTCTTCATAGGTCAGAAATACGGGTGGCTGTGCGAGCTGGTAGCAGTTTCTGATGTGCCAGGGAAGTGACTTGGAAGTTCTTTCTTTGCAAAGATAAAAAGAGAATCTTTTCAGGTTTGAGTGACAAAAGGAAAATTAATTTAAGCGAGATTCAGTGTCATGAAATAAGTGAGACTGAGCAAATGAGAAATGCTGGAGAGAATGTACGGCGATTTCTACCTAAATAAGTTCATGAGAAACTGAAGCAGGAGGAATGGGAGAGGCCAAAGGGGAGATGGGCACAGAGATAAATACAGACAGAGTCCTACTGTGCAGGGAATGCAAGCCTTCCTGAGCCAAAGACCGTCAGTGAGAGAGAGACAGAGACAGCAGATTTCAAGAGGACATTATGTTCTTTCTCCATATCTCAGCCTTAAGGAAAAAGCCATGTCCAATCTGAGTGTGTCCAGGACAATGCCCCTCTGGGCCACTGCTGTGTCCACCAGGTACTGAGG